TAAGTGAAAGGTTCAAATCGTAAGATACTGTCATGTATGCATAAGATTTCCAAAACAATTAGTGGGTTGTTCAATTTTGAAAATGGTTGGGGAATGTTAAAAAATTTTCAAAATAGTTCCAAGATGTGGATAACTATAGAAGGTGAGGAAACATGTGAGTTAGAATTCAAATCAAACAAAATAACCTTTGGAAGAGTTTCCAATGGATAAATTTGAAATGAATAAACTTACGAAATTCAAAATTTTCAGTTAATAAATTGAAAAATAGCATCTATTCCCAACAAACATCTTGCCTTATAAAATTATTTCATCTTCTTTCTCATCTCTTAAACATAGAAACAAATCCCTACTATTATCTAAATAAAATAGCCCCTTTTTGTACCGTGATTGTTGCAAAAATCCTTATTCAAAAATTGTGGCTTTGTCGTTTTCCAAAGAACAATTTAGTGGTTGATCTTGCCAGTGCAAATGTAAGATCAACAAGGTGCTTCATTGTATCCTACGGGCATTTCAAATTACTCCCTTTTGCACACCAAATCCATTGGGGACGAAATTAGCCTAAAGAAAAGTGGCATTTGCAGCATGCCTTGAAGCCTTTTGTTGTAGATTTTCTACTCTAATTCTTTAACAGACTATCCTTCCTAAGCTCTTATACTTGTCTTATAATTTAGTTTCTCCATTAATGGCAGAAGCAACAAAGAGGTTTTTAGCTTTTCCTTCAATCAAGTTTTCTCTTCATTTTTGGTGTTCCATTTTCCTTATTCTTCTTAATTGGGGGTTTAGAATCCAAGTTTTTTATTTTTACCGTTTGCATGCTAATTTGATGAACCAATTAAGATTTTTGATCTTGATATTATACGTTAGCTTTTATAATCAAGATTAAAACAAAGGTCATGTGGTTGAATAATCAAAGTTTTAAAAGATATAAAACATACCTCTGTAATTCCATCTATATGAGTTGAATTTGGTGTTTAGAGCTTTAACTTGACTAATTTATAAAAGCTCAACAAGTTTACATTAATATTAATATGTTTAATTAGGTTTTATGTGTCTCTGATTAAATCTTGCTTTTATTAAATCTATTGATTCTTGAGGCTAGAAAGTGGTTTCGTGGGTCAAGAAAGTGCAGAAAACGGGTCATAAAACCTGATGCAGACCTGAGATTTTGAGAAGATTTGCTTTCCTTTTGTCCTAATTTCTTATGAAAGCAAATTTTCTCAAACGCCGTTAAAATTGACGATTTTTGTTACTTATGCTATTAAAACTGATGGTTTCCATTACATACTAATAGTTTCCGTTAGTGTATAATGGAGTGTATAACTATGCAAGGTATATGTATTATTGTCTATTAGTGCATGCAATATTCTACCCAAAGGTGATTATTATGTACATTAACTTGAAGTAGTGAGAGCAATTAGTAAGGATGATAAGTATTTATACATATGTAGTAAAGGATGATCTTTCTACTAATTGACTTGTTAAAGTTTAATTTTATGGATTTATTTAATCAACATAAAGTGAAAATAAAGTAAAATATAGTTGTATCTTGAACTCTTTTGAGTTAAAAAGGAAT